ACGTTTCCACTGTCCCACACAGTTGCTGGCATTACACATGGGCTTTCATTTTTGCTAACTTGGTAGGTGTGTAGTATCCTACTGTGGATTTAATTTGCATTTCTCTCATTACCAATAAAGTTGAATACATTTTCATATGTTTAGTGACAACTTAAGTCAAATTATATATTTTTCAGATTTGTGATACATATAGCTAAATTAACCTCTAAAATGTTATATCAAATTCCTTTATCACCAACACTTGATAAATATTAAATATCTTTGACAATCAGAAAGGTGAAAGTGGCTTTTCTTTGTTTTTATTTCAAATTCCTTTAGTTATTTGTACATTTGAGTGTGTAACATTACTGTGATAAGGCACTTAACAGGGATGTTTGTGTCTTCTTGTCCTATTGTAGATGGTTTATTGAATAGTATTCTGGGTATCTGATTTCTAATCTAAAGTTTCTAATCTAAAACTTCAAAGTTATTCATAAGATTAATGCACATTTGACTTTATTTCAAGTGGGGTTTTGTTGGGGGGGGATAGTGACTTCTAAATGACAAATTTTTAGTCAAATTTAAGTGGATTAATGTCTGTGAAGTTTATCTACATGCTCAAAAAGAGTAACACAAGGGGCCCTGACCAGTGTGGCTCAGTTGGTTGCAAAGGCCTGTGAAGTGCAAGGCCGCTGGTTTGATTCCCGGTCTGGGCATATGCCTGGGTTGCGGGATTGGTCCCCATTCAGGGCGCATGTAAGAAACAAACAATGTTTCTCTCTCACATTGATATTTCTGTCCCTCTCTTTCTCCCTCTCTTCCCCTCTCTCTAAAATGAATTAGTAAAATACTTTTTAAAAAGAATAACACAAATGGGAGTGAGTCCTGCTAAGTACAACTAAACGCCCTGGACATTATGTGTGAGACAAACATAGGACTGAAAGGTGGAGGGAAGAAGGCAGACCAGATAGGGGCCTTGAAACCTGAAGAGCGATATGACGGTGAGTCCCCTGAGTGCTCTTTTTGCTTCATGAATCCTAGATCAGGTGCTAAATAGGTTGGCAACCCCCCCTCAAGCCTGCCCTTCCTGGTGGCCTGCCCTGGGGACTCCAGACTTGCCTAGCCAGCCCCACAGTGACACAAGAGAATTCCTTGTGATAAATATCTCCTACTAGTTCTGTCTCTGGTTGAATCCTAAATGATATGCATATTTTCCCCTTTGAAACTATGTATTATAATAGCTGTTTCTAACTCACTGCAGAATAAAGCAGAGCATACAAAATAGGTAAATATTCCTTGCCTATCTTACTGCTCTGTCCAAGGATCAACTATCATGTGTCACTTAAAATTCCCTCTTCTCTCTTGCAGTCTCTACCTTCATCCCTTCTCTCCTTCCTGCCTGGGGTACATACTCTCCAGTCTCCTGTACATGCTTATTCAATCACTATCACTCTCCAGACACTCCCTTGAATTTAAAAAAGCAAACAAACCTCATTTGATACTTCAATATTTGTGAATTCCCATACTATATCTCTTTTTCCCTTCACTGCCAAAACTTCTTTTAAATGTGTTCTATTTTCTCTTCTTTCATTTCCTTACTTTTGTTTTAACTTGAGGGTTTTTTAAAATTGATTTTAGAGAGAAAGAGGAAGAGGGAAAGAGAAAGATTTGTTTATCCATCCATTCATGCATTCATTGGTTGATTCTTGTATGTACCTGGACCAGGGATTGGACCCACAACCTTGGTGTATGGAGACGATGCTCCAACCAACTGAGCTACTGGCCAAAGTCATTTCTTCATTTCTTAACCCACTATTGCCTGGTTTCCATATCTACTACTCTTTTGAAACTGATCTCTTGAACTTTCAAGGTTAAGATACCTCCATGTCACCAAATGTAGCTATAGCAGTGCCTTCTAGTTACCTCCCAATATCCATTCTCTCCTTCTTCCTTTTGTAATAGAATCCTGGAAATTCATCAGGCTGAAAAGGTACATTTCTTAGCTGCCTTTGCCCCTGGAAGTGGCCTACTCAATTGTGGCCAGCGAGATGTAGCAGAATTGTGGAATGACATTTCTAGAGTGCTTGTTAAAAGGGATAGGGCATGCCCTTCTCTTCCCATCTTTTCCTTCCTCAGATAAAGGGGGATTGTCTAGAGCATTAGCAGCCATCTTGGATTCAGGGCATGGCCTTGAAGATTCACGGTGAGTGGGATGGTGCAGGAAGATATAAAGACCTCAGTTTTGTCCTGAATGACATCAAGGAGTTGCCAAGTCAGTGTTGGACTGACTTCCTCCAGACTCTTTTACATAAGGGAATAAACACTTGCATGTTTAAACCACCATAGCAGGGTCTCTGTTACTAGTAGCTAGTAGCTAAATGTGATCCCTAATGGGTACAACAATGGTCTATTATTATTCTTCTATTCATTCAGTGCATAAATATTTAAGTACTATTTTGTTCCCGGTACCACTTTAGACACAGGTATACAGTGGAAATAAGATAGATACAATCTTCCAGGTTTGACATGCTGTTTAGACATAGGAATAAAGAAATCACAGTTGGGTTTTAAAAAAAAAGTTGTAGCTTAAAGAAGAGGTTGGTGGTATGTACTTTTGAGACTTATCAGCCTGTGGTTACTAGTTACAGTTTCACTAAAACAATTGTGGGAAAGAAGGCAGAAAGAGAGGAGGTAAGCCCACGATTCAGCCCGGGTACACTGGAGGTCTGACGGAGGCAGAGCCGGGTGGAGAGGCCAGGGGGGATGGAAGGCCAAAGGAACATGCCGTCGTTGAAGCTGGAGGAGGAAGGCTCCAGAGAGGGGTCGAGTGTCAGCATGCTACTGAGAGGGAGTTGGACACAGGGAACTGGCCATTCTTCATCCTCAAAGGAAATTAACTGAAATTAATGAAGCCTAAGTTTCACAGAGGATCACTAGCACAGGCTCCTTTGAACATCTGTACCTAATTTTGTATCTGTAGTTTTATATTCTTTTGCTTAGATGGCTCTCCAAATGGTATAAACTCAAGCCCCATAAAACCTAGATGTGTCATTCCTCTTCATCGTCCTTCACCTCTCCATGACAACTTGACCACATATATTTCATTGACATTATTTCTTCCTTCGCTTCTGTGACGCATCCCTCTCTTCCACTGTTCTCTTATATTCATTCATATCATCCTTACAGGAACAATTCCCAAGTTCATACTTCCAGTACTGACCTTCATCTCCCAAACACAGGCAAAGAATTATGCCTTTTTGAAAGTAATTGCCATGCTAAACATTTATCTTTTTATAAAGTTCATGAGCAGGAAAAAGATGAGATGGATAAAAAAGGAAAGAAATATATGCTTGGCCCAGTCAGTATTACTCATTGGCATATTCTTGTAGAAAATAAATAGGATACAGCCTGTCTTAGTAATCTACTGCTGAATAATAAATTACCCCAATATTTAGTGGACTAAAACAATAGCAGTGATTCCCGCCCCCCCCCCAAACCTAGTTTCTATAGGAGAGCCATCTGTGGGATCCTCACAAGCTGCAATCAATGTCTTGAAAGGAGTTATCATCATCTAAGGCTCATATGAGAAGGGAATCATTCCCTACCTCCTTCAAATGGCACAGGCCAGATTTAATTCCTCTCAGGTTGGTGGACTGAGGGCCCTAGTTCCTTACTGGCTGTGAGTTGGAGATGACCCTCAGTTCATTGCCATGTGGGCCTTTCCACAAAGTAGCTCACAACATGGTAGATGGCTTGCTTCATCAGAGTGAGCAAGTGAGAGGTCAAGAGATGTAGTGACCACAAGAGAACATGCAAGCAAGATGAAAGTCAGTCCAAAGTGACAGCCATCACTGTTGTGTTATTCTACTGATAGAAGGGAGTCACTAGGTCCAGCCCACAACCAGTAGGAGTTACACAAAGGGATCACTGGAGTAAGGGATCACTGGAAGCCACTTTAGGAGTAAGGGATCACTGGAAGCCACTTTAGGAGTAGCCTATTGCACAGCTCCTGCTCTCCAGGAATGCACAGTATAGGTGAGAAAGCATTGTGCAGGTACCTGAGAAAGACTAAGGTATGCTGGCACAATGACTGCCAATCAATGTAGATGTGTGTTCATCTCCAGCTGAGACAATGGGCTCCTGTCAGATGGCTTATAACAAGTTTTAGCTGGTCACTGATCTCCAGTGCACTTTGAGATGAATTTCACAGAGGTTGCCCTCCTCCCCATCCACTCCAGAATAATTGCTACAATAATGTGAAATGTAAGCCTAAAAATCCGAGTGTGCTATGTGGTCATGCAATAGTCCCCATTCTCTTTTCCATTGCTGCTAGTTGGAGAGTACAGTGTATTTCATTCACCACTTTGTGGTCAAAACTCCTTCAAAACACTCGTCTTCGTTAAAGTAGGAGACAATATTATAAGGATATGAATTATTTCTATTAAAGCAGAAACTCACCTTTCTCAGCTCATCTGCTGAGATTTCCTCATGCCATAAGAAAAAAAAAACAGTCCAATTGGCTTATTTCAATCTCCCTACAGATTACTGAGCGATTTAATAATTAGCACACGGGTTTATAATTACTCACAGTAAACACATGCGATCAAAGTAGTTATCTACTTACTTGCACATACTGTATGCACATATCCCCTTGCTTTAACGCAGTTTGGGCTCTGGCCTCCTAATCTTGGTCCTCATGAGTAGTTCCACCCCGCGCCACAGGAGGCAGAAGCAGCCTTTTCTCACTCGCAGTTTTCGACCCAGCTTCTGTCTCTATCAGACTCTACCAAGTCAGTAAGAAAGGGGGATTTGTCAAGGGAGGTCAGCCCTGTGTTCAGGCTTGCTTTCTTAAGAAAAATTTTATCCCCACTAGAATCTTCTCAAGCCATAGTATAATTCTTTAAATTTCATCACGTGAGAAAGCTCCCCAGGCCTGGTTCTTGTGAGGCCTAGCATTTTTCTGCTCCCCCTGCTCCTCCGGAGAATGGTGCGGCCCTACCTTTCGCGAACCAACCCGGAAGTCACACCGCTGCAGGGACTGTGTCCTCCTCCCACTTTGCCCGGGAAGCTCCAGACTGACCGGAGTCCTAGGGCTCACCCGGTCCTCCTTCCCGGGTCCTCCTTCCTGGGTGCCCCTTCCTGAGCCTCACTGGCCCATGGGGCTGCAAAGCGGCGGCAGGGGCCCGGCCCCGGGGCGGGCAGCCCGAGTGGGGCCGCGGAGCTCCGGGGGCCTGTGCGGCGCTGTCGCTGTGTTCACCGCTGTGGCCGCCGTGTACACCCACACGCTGCCCCCCTCGGTGCCGGGGGGAGACTCGGGTAAAGTACTCTCAGGGTCGGCTGTCCTACCCTTTTCCCCGGGTCCACACTCTTCTCACCAGGTCTGGTCACTTTACACCCTCCATCCAGCTCACCTCCTTGTGCCCAGGGTTCTGCGTTCCAGAACCAACTCTGATTACTCTAGTTCTCAGGCTTTTGACATGGGGCTTGTTAGTTTCGTCTGATGGGACTCGCCGACCTCTCCACTGCCCCAGTTCACTTTTCTGGACCTGAGTTTTGCTTTTCAGTCCGTGTAGTGCACATGTATTACTTCGTGCTTGATGTGCTCTGGACAAAAGAACAGTAGTGGTGAACAAGGATCGAGGAGAGTATTCCAGAGCTGGTAGAGACAATACACAAGCTACTGAATAAACTGCTGCATATTAAGTGGTGATAAATTAATGTTGACAGGGAAATGTGTTTGAGAAGGGGGTGGCTAGTAGCTCTTTTCCCTTTTTTATTGAGTTTATGGGGTGACATTGGTTAATAAAATTACAAGGTTTGGGGTATACAATTATATACATCATTTATAATACACCCCAAGTCAAGTCGCCTATCACCATTTAAACCCCCTTTACCCTCTTCTATCTCCCCCCAACCTGCTTTCCCTCTGATAATTGCCACACTGCTGTCTGTTGTCTGTGAGGTTTTGTTTGTTTGTTTAATCCCTTCACCCTTCTCACCCAGCCCTGGAACCCCCTCCTCTCTCACAGCTGTCAGTCTGTTCTCCCGTATCTATTCTGTTTTTATGTTTGTTAGTTTATTTTGTTCATTAGATTCCACATGTAAGTGAAACCATATGGCATTTGTCTCTCTCTGACTGGCTTACTGCACTTAGCATAATGTTCTCTGGGTCCATCCAAGCTGTTTCGAAGAGTAAAATTTTCTTCCTCCGTGCCTCCGTCCCTCCCTTTTCTGTACAGCTGAGTAGTATTCCATTCTGTAAATGTACCACAGCTTTTTTATCTAGTGGCTCCTTCTGAATGGCTAGTCAGGAATGACCTCTGAAGAGGTGATATTTTCCTGAATGTTGAGAAGGAACCAGCCTTGCATAATACCTGGGAGAGAACACTTAAAATAGTGAAAGTCAGGTCATGGCTTAAAGCAAGCTACTTCTATTAAAAAGAAAGCCATGCTTCATGGACCATTTAAATCACATACATTATTGTTTTGTATTTGGTATGAGAAACAAGGTCCAGATTTTTCTTTTTGCTGCCAACTTGAGTGACCATCCAATGAAGCCTAATAAGGGCCAGGAATTTTGTCAGCACCCTAACTTCCGATGGTGAATTGACAAGGCTGAGGGCACTAGTTATCTTTTGCTGCATAACAAGCTACTCCCAAATTTAGTGGCTTAAAACAAAGAACGTTCATTATCTCATATTTTATGTAGATCTGGAATCTGGGTGCCCTTTAGCTGGGTGCTCTTTCTCAGGACAAGGTTGCCATCAGGGTGTAGGTCTGGGCTGCAGTCCTCTCCAGGCTCAACTTGGGGAGGATTTGCTTCTAAGCTTAATCTAGTTCTTTGCCAAGTGGGTCTGGGTGAGCTAACTTCCGTCAGGAGGAAGAGATGGCCCCTTGGTCATTTGGTAACCTAATCTTGGAAGTGATATACCACTGCCCTATTTGAGTCATGGAAGTTACTCAGTAACTCCAGCCCACACTCAGATAGGGAGAAAACCAGGAGTTGGAGATCATTAGGAGTCATCCTCAAGGCTGCCTGCCACGTTTGAGGATCCTTGAAGTTTCATTTTCATGCTATTACCTTTATTTCAGGTCCTATTGAACATGTAGGAGGATTATTTCATTAGTAGGGAACAGAGTTACCATGTTTCCAAGGTTTTATAGTTTTGAGAGTGGAGAGCATTAGTCAGAGGCTGGGTAGTTCTGCACCTTTCCAAAAAGAAAACTACTGACAATTACCATGGTTGACGGAGCCTGAAGTATGGCGGTAGGCTGAACAATAATTAACACTTACTGAGCACTTACTATGTGCCGGGCACAGTTCTAAGTGCTTTGCATGGATTGTTATTTTAATCCCCCAGCTGCTACCCTGTCAAGTAGGTACTGTCAATATCTTCTTTTTGTAGATGACAAAATTAAAACTAAGTTTTGTCTAGAATCATTTATCTAGAAAGTAGGGACAGTGAAGGAAAGAATGCAAAAAGAGTGGCTTTAAAACACAATCTCTGAACCTCTACTCTCTGTGAAAGAATTTCACAAAATTGTTAAGTCCATCATTACATATATAGTGGTATTTAAAATCTATGATTGTTGCCTTGTCTTTATTAATACTGTTTTAATTTCTTCCAAAAGAATAAAGTTATCTATTTTACTTTGAGTTACCAAACTTTCGAGGTGCTGTAATTTGTATAGTTTGACTGTAAATAGTGGTTGCTTCTAATATGTTTATTCATTTTGGGGAATGATAAATAAACTAGTCCAAGTATCCCCAGTAAAATGTGTATAATCATATCTTGATGATTTTGTGTATGTTGAATGGACTGTTCTTCAATGTTTGTGTTTATGAAATATATTTTCTATCAATAAACAGAACCCATCTCAAAACCAATATAAAGCATGTATTCTTCTAACTGATGAGTCTTAAACTACACTCCATGAATCCATCACATTGTGTGGCCTTGCCAGAGTCTTGCACGACTGGATGCGCACAGTTGATTTACGGGCAGCAGTGCTTGTAGTCCTTGGGAGGAAAGGGTGGGAATCAGGCCTTCGCTTCAGTTTGTTATTCTTGGGGAAAGGAAATTCACACTAGGATACCGTCTTTAACAGACTTGATATATGACAATATAATAACTATAAAAAGTATAAAGGAACCTAATTTTTTTTTTTGAAATGTTAAGCCTCTGCTAACAACTCTGAGCTTGCCATCCATTTGTGTCCCAGACGAAAGAAAAGGTGTGGTCCATAAACTGGAAAGTACTTCCGAGTTACCTGGGCAACTTCAGCCCTGATGCCAGAGGGTCCTAGTGTAGGTGTGGGTTTGGGGTGTAGTCAGGAGATTCTCATTTGTATAAAGCACCCAGATAATTCTGACTGCAGATGGGAGTAGGACTTCAGTTTCAGGAAATCCTAGTGTAAAAGGCTGGGAGAAAGCAAGGGCCCAGGGGGCCCTTGTCTTTATGTTTCACTATTCACTTGCCCTCTTCTCTTTATTATATTCAATTTTAAGGGTAATATTTCCATTTAGCTCTTTATCAAAGGTGCAGTTATAGGCTTTGAATAGTAGTGACATCTATGTATAAATTTTAGTTTAACATTTTATAAGAGTTGATGGAAATTTGTCACATTCCAGATTTATCCTTATACTAACAGAACTCCAGCAAAGAGTTACAACCTATTGACTTTTTAATGGTAAAAAGAAGTTAGAGTAAATGGGCTATTTTTGTTAAATGGAGGAGAGTGACTTGTGACTTTGAAATTCTGAACTTCACTGTACTTCATCACACGTACAGAAATTTAAGAACAAGAAACTGATTAAAACAGTTTTGGACTGAAGACACAAGAGCTATCTCATTCTAGAGTAAGACTGTACTTGACAGTAGTTGCAAAGGGAACAGTTATTTTAAACATTTTTAGACCATAAATAATTTCTTTAAAAAATATGTAAGATACAGAAAGTACTTTTGGTTTCTATGGTTTTCTTGACTACCTCCAGAAAACTTGAAAGATGCCCTTAAGTAACTGACTTAGGGGAGCAGAAGCTATCTTTGGGTGCGTGCCTTTATGGGGGCTCCATGATGGAAGCAGTCATTCACTGAAGAGGGGTGTGTGAGTAGCAAGATGACAATGTGATAATGTCTTTCTGCCAGCCCCTGTTCGGAGCTTGAATTAGAGTCTGTGGTCAGAGGAGGGAGAGGTGGTGATGTCTTAATAGGATCCCAAAATGGATAGGATAATATCTTTAAATAACTTAATGGAGAAGGCAGGAAGGAAAGCAAGTAGCTGGGATATAAGGCAATCTAAGGGCTAAATAGAGAGGTTCAAGCAGGTTCTATGAAAGAAGTGATCAATTTTTGGGGGGAAATTGGCTTGGGAGAGGGTATATGTAAGGAAACTATCAGTGAGAAGGTGGCAGTTGAACTGGGCCTTGAAGGATTTAGGACAGAATACTGGGTGAGAAAAGGAGTGACAAGAGGCACAAAAGAGGACCATTCCAGAGGGGCAGTGGGTAATCATGTCTGACCGAGGTGAGCGTGGGTTTCACGGCTAGGACCCTTATAAAGGGAACTTGAAGCCATAGAGGGCTTGCTTGTCATGCTGAGGAATCTGAACTTCACTGAGGAAGCAGAGGGCAGCCACTGAGAAGTTTCAGACGAGAGATGCGGTCTGGCCTTTTTGGGGGGTAAGAGAGTGACTATGGGGTGGCGTAAGTGATTTCAGTATGAAGAGGAATTGAAGTAGAGGATTGGTCAATGCTACTGCCACAGTCCAGGCCAGAGAGGGTAGAGGCCTGCACTGTGGCTGGCGCAGTCAGTAAACAGTAAGAGTATTGGTATTCATTTAGGGATAGCAAGTGGACATTAATACATGTCCTAATAGATAATAACATTCATAAATCATCAATTAATATTGATTGATTTCTTAAATTGTACTGTACTACAGTGTATAGGGATGAGCCAAAAATAGTCCCTATGTTTTGGATACTTAAAATATTAACCAAACAGACATTGAATGAATGCATTATAATTTTAGGAATATAAAGGACCGTGTAAATAGTATAATGACATAATAGCTTGAAAAAATATGTCATGATACTTGGAGTTTACCAAAATAGCCTGGAGCAAAGACCCACTTGGAAATTGTGTAGAGGTATCCGGCCTAATTAATGCAGAGATGGTGTTCCAATGTCAGGTTTAGGGCAGCACGCACACTGTTGGGAGCGTCCGAACCTCGGAGTCTGCACAGCATACATTTCATAAGGTCCCATCTTCACAGACAGCTTTGTACTAAACTGTTGAGAGGTAACACAGCATATTATACTAAGGCTCTGTAAGAGTTTTTAAAAATCTATTTGTAAGTGTCTACAGCTTTTAGGAGGGGAAATAAGCATTTTTGTAAAAATAGAATTCACCTATATATTTTACTGACCAGTTATTAAAAGCTACCAAAGATAGTTTGTTCAATAGGACCTAAGGTAGAAAATATTCTTAGACTATTCATGCTGTTAAATCTCTGCAGATTTACCATTTTATCCAGTCAAATTAATGCAAAACCCCAATGCAAGCATTTGGATTTTGAAAACTTTGGAGGAGTGTCATTTTCTAATAGTAATTATTGGTTTTACATTATTTTTTCACAGGGGAACTGATCACAGCCGCACATGAGCTTGGAGTAAGTATTAGTTTTATTGTTTAATCAATGCTCTCATTAACAGTTTTAGGAATTAAGAAAGTTTAATTAAGCATGGAATAAAGTAGATTAATTTATTTTTAAACCCCAGTTTTTAGTAACTTATAAGTACAGTATGTGACAATTTACTTTAAGTTTTAAATCCAATTAAACTAAATTATAAAGCAAAGCCTTTACTATATATACAGTAGCTGGCTTATTATCACCCCAAATTTCGTATAAGCTGTGGAGAATAAAATAAATCGGGTTAACAGTTTTAATAAGTTTATTATTTAATAAACTTTATTATGGCACATGATCCCTTTAGGCAAGACCTTAGGACTGTCAGCATGGCGGTAATCCGATAGCAGTGTGGTCTCTCGGCTTCCCAACCAGTGCGATATTTCAGAACCTGCTTTTTTTTCAATAGCCTTTTAAAAGACCCTAATGTACTGTGAACCCAGAGAACAAACTGCTTAAGAGTTGACAATGAAATATGTCACCCTTTCTCTAGGTGACACACCATGTGATAGAGGCCGCTCCCAAATCCACTAAAGAAAATATTTATTTGTATTGGCACAAAAGGATTACAATAGAAAACTATTTAAACAGTTAGTCATTGGCTCGTAATCTTTATACTTGCCCGAGGAAAGGACTACTTTTCAATTAAAGCCAGTGTGATCCTTCCTTTACTAATAGATGAATTCCTTCTAACTGTTGCGAATTTTTCCGTAGGTTGCCCATCCTCCTGGCTATCCTTTGTTCACATTGGTGGCTAAACTGGCAATTACACTGTTTCCTTTTGGTTCCGTTGCCTACCGAGTCAATCTTCTGTGTGGCTTATTGGGAGCAGTAGCTGCCTCATTCCTTTTTTTCACCGTTTTCAGGTAAAGTAGTTGATTAGTTAAGATCCATTTTGACTAATTGGAGATGTAGTTTTCTTACAGCCCAAATACGTACATTAAAAATGATCTTTGTTGTTGTTTGAATGGGTTTCCAATATCACTCAGGTGATTTCACTTTCTTAATTTACAGTAATTCCGTATGCCTTTGACCCCTTAAGTGATAACACAATTGGTTCTGCTTCATACAGTGGAGCGAAGGTGTCACCAGTTCATTATCACAATTCTCTGGTTAGGCAGAACTAATAAGGTTTGTCATTTTATGAAGATGCAGATGGGCCAATTTAATTCAACAATATGAAGTTCATCTTTGAGTAAATGGTAAATATTCTTTAATTACACGCAGTATCGTTGATAGGCAGCTGCCTATCAGTTTCTGAGCTAATACCTAATGACATCATATTTGAATATGCACATGTTGTATACTTTTTAAAATGAGGCTATTAACTAAGGAAATCAATTTGGGATGTGGTTTTAGTAAGGTTTCACTTTGTTCCAGTATAGCTGTGGGGAAAATAGGCAAATTAGTCCCCACTTATTTCACTGATGGAAGTCTTTCTGAGTTTTGAAGGCTCCCCTGCTTTTAAAAAATGGGTCATTTGTTTAGGATATTGATAAACTCATTTGTCTTTGCTGTTTCTGTTTCCTTTGTTCTTAACTCAATCTGACCTATGCCTAAGCGGATTAAAGTGAAAAATACAAATTATACTTCCTATAAAGGGAAAACCAAATTAAAACACTTCTTTCAAAAGCTATTGCAGGTTTGATTATAAAATAAATAACTTTAATATGTAAATATAGGGTAGTTTGAGTAGACATAATATCAAATGTCATTTTGGATGCCAGTGTTTTTATTTGTATTAGTCATAATATTGCCCTTAAGCTAAATTCTTTTCTAAATTCTCTTTTAATTATTTTTAATAAGGTAAAGGTTAACATAATTATGACTCTATATACTTTTAAATCTATTTGTAGAAAACTTTCAGATTCAGATGTTATAATTTTTGGCTGTTGACTAAATTATTATCAATATTATTTAATTTGTTTTTATCTTAGTCTTACAGGTTTTCAGTGGTAGCCACATTTTTAAGCATGAAATGTTAAAGTGACGTCTCCACTTGGAGTGATTTCTGTTGTGGATGTTATGGATGTTTTCTTTTTCTTAATGATTAGAATAATCTTTATAAGAATTGTTTCTTCTGAATCTTTTGTAATTAAGGATCTGTCATTATTTTTGTCGATAGGAAAACTTTTTTATTTTTAAATATTTAGGTTGAAATTTAGAATTTCCTGTTCTAAAAGTAACACATTACCTGAATGTGTGAGCTATTAATTTTCACAAGACATTTAAGACAAAGGCCTTTAAAGAAAATGCTTGTATTTAGATATTTCATTTATATTTTAGAAGATCATTTATGTAACATACACATATATTTGAATTCTATGTGGATATAAATAGCTTTTATGCAAATAAGGGATTTGTTTTCTAGTACTTCTCCATGTTTTTCAGAATATTAATTGTTGATGCCATGCCACATGAAAACCACTATAAAAGTCATATATAAAAATCTTTATTTTTATAGAATCTAAATACCTTTGGACAATAGTTTGTTTCCCTTAGAGTTTTCCATATTTTAAAATAGCTCTTATTAATTATTATTCTTGACTGTAATGGGTTGTAGAGTAGCACACTAGCCTGTAACCCTTTTCTTTTAATATATAGTCTTAATAATAAATGTTTATACTTGCTGATACATGTTTTAAATAAAAAACTCTTAATATGACTAAACTGGATATTTGAGTAGTTTTAGAAATATAATACTTTGGAAAAGTTGCTTTCTTTCAGAAAAGGAATCTAACAATATTATCTCTTATACACATTTTAATATGAAAATACTTCATTATTTTGAATACAAATAATTGACAAGGTACACGTCCTTTGGGAACAGCCTAGTTCAAGTGGCAAATCTGTTTTGTCAAACAATAGACACCCTTCAGGAAAGAGCAAGCCATCTCTATGGTAATAGGACTAACAGTAGCCTATTGATTGAGTGGAAGAAGACATTATACAATGTCAGCTGGCTTGTTACAATTTCATTTGTTGTATGACCTGAACTTAACCTTTAAAACCTTTCTTCTGTGACTGTAAACCCAACAGCAGGACAGTTTCTGAGCAGCCATTACAGTGGCGGCTTTTCGTAGTCCCAGCACACAGCCATGTCTCCCTTTGCAGGTGGACTCCTTTATCAGAATGCGTTCGGGAGACGTCTTACTACTTTATTCACTTACACACCAGATCGTCATTCTGTTTTGTTGTTGAATGTTGAAGGGTTTTAATTCACAAAACCGTTTTATTCTTTCTTTCCCCCACCACTTAAGAAAACATTACTGTACATGTGGGATTGATGCTGACTGGTGTGCATTCAATTAATTCTTTTAACAGGTTTAGGTTTTTTTTCAGGTAATTGTTCACATAGCATTCACTATATTTAGTTCTTGGGGTGGACATAAAGACCTTCTGTACCTTTTAAACAAAGATTGTATTTCAGAAGCAAATTTCTGTTTAAATGTGTTGGTGTTAAAAGCTCCATTTTTTTCCAGTAAACATGACTTAGATAAAACGATTTATTCATTGTTTCTAATTACCATGTAATTTTTGTTTTTCTTCTATCTCTTGCTTTTAAAAGCAGTCAGATGTCATTAACACTGCATTTTTTGTCATTCTTTCCTAATGGTTGGCAAGAACTCATTTATATTTGCTTTGCCCTAATGGGGAAAGTGTATGAGTAAAACAGCACATTGAAAGCTATCTGTATCACTGTAGTTTACTGAATTTAAAGTAGTAAGACTGTGCCAGTTGTTTCTGTATTTATGTAGTACTAAGCATGGTTTATGTTAAGGGAGTTTAATGTAGTACATTTAATTTATGTGAAATAGTACTCATTTTATTAATGTGTACATCTGTGCATTTAAGACTGTAATACAGTTAGTGTTTTACAGGAAATGGGAATTTCTCTGTTAAGGTCATTAAAGTAAATGATTTTTGAGTCTGATAGTATGACATTTAAAGGGTTAGATTTGAAATTCACGAATCCCATTAATGCAGACTAAAAGTTATAATGTAAATCACTAATAGGAATAGCACTGAGCATGCCTTGCACTTGAATTCAGACTTCCTAAGGACCGCCAGAGTGGGTTCCTGTGCTGCATGAGGAGGGAGCCCTGAGAGCGCTGTCGTCAGACGTCAGTGGGCTTACACTCCGTGTGCTGGCAGCGCTGAAAGGGGATGGTGTTGATAGCATTGCATAAAAATCCTTTACCTCGGGAAGGATTTCAGTTGTTTCTGATCTCTGATGAGGGCGTACTTGGTCATTTATTTCGGTTGTGACAAGGCAGGGAATACAACCTCCCCAGGCCCGAGAGGCAGCGTGTCCTTTTCAGACTCCCAGAG